GGAAGGAGAGAGAAGAAGAGGAGAGCGGCGCATCAGGGAGAAGGAGGAAGGAGAGAGAAGGAGGAGAAAAGGATAGGAGGAAAGAGAGTGGAACCGTCTTATTTTAGGTTTCCTCTAAAGGGGTTTTTTAAAGGTTTTTTTTAAAATTAATTTCCGACGGATTTTAATTCCGTCGTAAATTTCCGACGGAATTAAAATCCGTCGGAAATAGTACTGTTCGATGGAAAATTCCGTCGCAAAAGTCAAAATTTACGACGGATTTTAATTCCGTCGGAAATTTCCGACGGATTTCCGACGAACTTTTATAATTCGTCGGAAATATCCGACGGAATAAAAATCCGTCGTAAATTTCGACTTTTGCGACGGAATTTTATGTCCGTCGGAACGATTCCGTCGCTATTTGTCTGTTTTCTTGTAGTGTAAGTGACGTTCAAGGTCATTTCTTTACACCATAAATGATGCTTAGCTCCAAGACCAAAGTTAATTCATCTATCGTGTCACATGATGTAATTGTCCTTAGCCTCCTGGCCTAAGGACATGCATCATGCATACATTACTTTCAAGAAAAGCAATTCATTCATGCGATTCATTTTTTCTTGCTCAACGAGGAAGTTCAAAACTACTTTCCTTTTTTTCGCGTCTTTTCTTTTGGGGAAGTTTAAAAAAAAAACTTTTTCAAAATTTTCTCATCGAGGGAAGTTCGAAAATAAAACTTCAGTTTTCACATCTTTCTTTTTTGGGAGAAAGTCGGTACCCTCCACTCATGACATAAATTGACGGAAAATTTTTGCTTTTGCATCTTTCGTTTGCTTGTGTCTACAGACACACATATACACACACACACACACTCACTCACAATCATACACATGTCATGTCACATCAAGTCAAACTTGGTCAAGTCAGTGGTCAAGTCAATCACAATATATACGAGTCCATTGGCAAATTTATTTTTGCAGGTCTCATCTACAGGCCACGTTCGGGGACAAGCGAACAATTACAACCCACGTCCGGGGACAAGCAGATCATCTACAGCCCACGTCCGGGGACAAGCAGACCATCTACAGCCCACGTTCGGGGACAATCGAACCACCATCATTTCACGACGCAAGGTTCTCGATACACAGAGACTTGCAATCTCATCATTTGTCGACTTTCCTCAAGCATGGAAAGTATTATTCGGTGGATTTCTTCAAGCATAGAAAAACGCCAAAATCATATGTCAACTTTCCTCAAGCATGGAAAGTGTCATCCGGTAGGTTTCTTCAGGCTTAGAAAGCTACCAAACTCATCTGTCGGCTTTCCTCAAGCATGGAAAGCATTTCAACAAATGTCATCCGGTGGATTCCTTCAATCATAGGAAAATACCAAACTCATTTGTCACCGATACAATGGTGTCTAATAAGCGTTCTATCCCTTTACTATTTTATCTGTGGAATTACCATTTTTTGCAGGTATCGGCGTATACATAGTGATTTAGGATCGCAGAACGTCTTAAATCATTCTCCATCCCTATTGACTATTTTGACTATCGTTTTCGAAACTGACGTTTCTACAAACTCAGTCAAAGTGGGGGCTTCTGTAGACACCTAAAAATGTCTCCCCAAAACCAAACCCGATGATGAACAACCTTTCACCGCCATTATTGGTCGGGTTGAGTATTTAATCTTGGAGTGCTTAAATCCATATTTCCATTTCATAAACCAACCCAACTTCTAGCCCATTTCCTCAAACCATAACTTATTTTCCTCTTTTCGTGCCTTTAAACCCAAAATAATTCATTTCGTGACCTTTAAAATCATTCATTTCGTGTCCTTTTTAAAAAACGTTCAATCCAGTTTATTTTGGTCCATAATCTGGGTCCAATGATTGAATAGTTGGATGGGGCTTTAAAAGAGCTTTCCAACGATATATTATAAGCCCAAATCCGAGTTATAACGAATAAGTTATGGCCAAAATATTAAACTGAGTCCAAACCGAACCTAAGCCCACCTTACCTACGACCCAATGATCATGTGGTCCAAATTATTTAATCCCATTCCTAAACCAATTAGGATTAATTAGAAGCTTCTATAAATTTCTAAAAGATCCTAATTATCCTTTTTGAAAAGATAAGATTGAAGAGTTTGAAATTGAATAAAACTCCTTTTTTTAAAGCCCTAATTTTATTCGAATTGAAAGACATTCAAAGATAGACAGATATTATTTTCGTGCCTCATAGTTTTTATCCAAATTTTATATGGTTGGATAGCCCTTGAAATTATCTTTCCAATGATATATTATGATACCAAATATAAGCTATAACGGAAAAGATATGAATAAAATGTCAAACTCTATCCAAAACTGATACCGTCTCACTATTTTGGCTATATCTTTTGTTATACAAAATATTTTAATCTGATTCTAATTGGGATAAAAAGTAGACTTCAAGAGCTTTTCAACGATATCTTATTCATATTATTCCGATTTCAGGATCAAAAGATATGATAAAAACAAAAACCGCAAAAACTGCAGTCTATCGAGTTTTATTCCGATTTAATTCGGATCTTATCTTAATTTTTCGACCCTTCTTTTTTCTCTATAAATAGAGGTCATATCTCCCCTTTTTTCAAACATCAACAAGGTTGATCACAAAATAATTCTTTTCTCCCTCTTTAGACTAAACACTAGCCATCCCTATTCACTATTCCTTCCTTTAAGCACTCCCAGGAGTTCATACAATACCCAAAGTTCTATACTTAAACCAAGGCGTGAAAGGTATAATTAACTGAGGGTTTGGACCAAATTAAATCTACATTTATTTAATTTAATTTTAATTTGCTTTATATTTTTATTGAAGTTACTAACAGTTTATTCATGATGTAACAATTTAAAGGAACGCGCGGAATGTGAGTAATTAATTAATTTAATTACTCTTATTTTATTTTAATATTGCTAGCATCATGATTAGTTTATTTTATCTTTTTTTTTTACTTAATGATATTATGGTTAAATTGCTTCCAATATTAATATTTATTCTATTGTTATTATTGATCACTATATTGCATGTTCAAGGGAATATGTAATTGAAAATCACGCCTAATAAGATAATTTGGACAACCGGTTTAGGTTCCTTTTTAATCTTGTTATTTAATTCAAGCGATCACAAATATTTTAGAATTATATGTTGCATTAATATTCAACCAATTTAGCTTAATAATAGTTTAGAGCAAATTGAATTTCTGTTTGTATGCCTTTGAGATCGCAGGAATCACTTTTCACTATAAGAATCGAGTAGAGGCCAATACGGGCGAATGTCACTCTGTGACTCACTTCGTACCATCATCTCCGATCTTCCTTTCGTGGTTCCGAACCATATGGAGTTAGTAATCTCATGGATTATGAATGGGGTGTAACCTTCACGGGTCAATCGTTGTTGCCTATCGTTGTCCCTTATTCGTGGTTGCCTTTTATGATCCGTGAACGGTTTACAAGTTCCTTAAAAACTTGTTGGCGGCTCCCTACTTTATTTGTCCATAATCGCATACGTCAATTCCCACTTCCTATGAGTGCCAAGCATATTCACCACATGCTTTTAACGTAGGCACACTTCCAGCGACGGCTACAGAGGATGAATCCCTTTTTTTTTTTCAATCCAATTCTCTCGATCCAAACAATTTGTAAATAAATTTGTATTGTAATTATTAATTTAATTTAAATCTTATAAACAAGCCTCAACTTGATGCATTAAATAACTAATTAATATAATAATGCAACCTAAGATAATATTAATTTGAAATGTATAACATATCATGCGTCGATAAATCGATAATTAATACTCCCTTCGTCCCATTATTACATGCATGTATCCCTTTTTGGAGGTGATCAAAATTAAGTGCCTCTTTCTATTTATAGTTTGTACTTTTTGATAATAATACTCCCTCCATTTCATAACGTTAGTCCCATATGGAATCAATCACATAAAATAAGAAAACAAATATATTTGGAATCTAACATTAAAGTACAACAGATTTCATAATTAGCTTACCTTATTTAACTATTTTGATTTTTCATTTGGAAAGCACAAGTCATAATTGCATAATTTAAGGTAAAATTTTCCTTATTTAGAGTCATGTCATCATTACACAATCAATTAATTAAAAAAAAATCAAGTTATAAATGAAATATATTCAATATGGGTATATCTTTTTGAAACGCCCAAAATAGTATATGGGACTAACATTATGAAACGGAGGGAGTATTCTCTTTTTGATGATTTGTCACCCTTTTTCTTTTTCTTTTTTGTACTTTAACATCAATTTCCAATACTTTCTCTCTCCTAATTCCCAACCACTTTTTCTTTCTCTCTATCTCTCTCTAATCCTACATGCATATTTATACTCCCAATTATTAGTTTTAAGGAATCTTAATTTTCTTAATTCCTGTGCAAAATGAGAAATAGGCATGTAATAAAGGGACGGATGGAGTACTTTATATTAATTTTTGCCGTATATTCCCACTTTTAGTTATTTTATTTGGGATACACTTGTTAGCTTTTGTCATTCAATTTATATACACTTCAATAATTATATACTAAAAGACACTCCAGCAATGACATGTGTCAGTTTCTGGTGTGTCCTTAGTATTTTAAAAAAAAAAAATATTTAATAGAAAATTTATTTCAAGAAATTATTTGTAAAATTTAAATACTACTCCGTATATAAATAGAAATGATATTTGCCTTTTTTTTAATATTCACATTCAATTCAATTAACTAATTAATATGAAAAATAGAATAGCAAAATATAATAATCTTTGTAAATATTTTTAAAAAATACAATCTTCTACTATAAGTTTTTATGTGGCAAATATAATATCCGTTTCAAAGATACAGTTGAGATAGACAAAAATTAATGATTAAAAACGAGATATTACAATATATGATCACTGATAAATATATACGTACATAATTAATTTATATGTGAGTGTTGGCATTTAACATTTTGCCTTATTTGGGACAAAATTAGTGGACAAAACCCTTTTTTTGATAAACCCCAAACCCTTACACCTACGTTTTCATTTCCTTCTCCTTTGGAGCTCTTTCATTCTCAAGCTGCGCCCTTTTTCTTTCTTCTCCAAGCGCATACTCTGATATCTTCATTGGAGAAGCTTCTGAGCTTTTCCTCCTCCAATGAAGCAGCTTCTGAGGTAAGATATTATTGTTAATTTTTTTTTTTAAATCACCGAATATCAATTTTACAATTTAGGGTTTAATTAAATTTAGTTGTCAGTATATTCAATTTAGGGTTCTTCTTAGGTGTATTATTGAAATCTTATTATTATCATCTGAAACGGTTAAAACCATCGATTTAGTTTCTATGATTTTGCTAGTATTATTCTTAAGTAAGAAGAATTTAATGTTGTTGGATTCTAATTTGATAATTGAGTCAAATGTGATTGCTAATGTGTTGTAGGATGTTGTTTATAGTTATTTATTGTAGGACAAAACTATGAAAATGTTTATCAATTTCACAATCTAGGGTTCATCATGGCCCCAACTCGGCCGCCCCGCCTGCCCTGCCTCAGGGTTGGCCCTGAAAATTTAGGGGCATTTGATGTTATGATATCGAATGTCATGTTGTAACACTTAAATGGATGTAATAATAGGGTATCTCATCTGGGTTTTCGCCCATGTTTTTATAAGTTTGTTGATCTCATTGTCAGTATATTGTTTTAACAAATTTCTGTTCATTTCACATACCAGCTTCAAAGGAAGGTTCAATAACTGGGACATCCTTATTAGGAATAGTCGTAAGTGTATATATCGCAACATACACAATACCAGTCACCCTCCTTATATTAGTGGTACATATGATGTACTTCAAGCAAGTTGTTTTCAGCATTGGTTCAAGAACTGGCAGAATTTAAGAAAGAACAAGCTTACTGCAAGCACTTTTAGCTCTGCAATTGGGTTTTGGCCTCATAGGAGAGTTCAATTGTGGTTAGAGAAGATAGGGGCGATTGAACCCTTTTCTGGTAATCTTGCGACCTGTTATAACAATATCAATGAGGAGGAAGCTCTGGAACGGTACAAGATATTAACTGACAAGTCTGTTGTGTTTCCTAAATTTCAAATTCTTAATAACAATAACTTTAATGGTGATGGTTGGCTTGGTGCCTCTCCTGATGGGGTTGTTGAAGAAAATGTTTATGGTTTGCCATCGGAGGGAGTGTTGGAGATTAAGTGCCCCTTCTTTGATGGTGATATTAACAAAGCTTTCCCTTGGAAGCGGATCCCACTTTATTGTATGCCACAGGCACAAGGTCTGATGGAGATACTGGATAGGGATTGGATGGATCTCTATGTTTGGACCCCAAATGGAAGCAGTTTGTTTAGGCTGTATCGAGATGTTGAATATTGGGATGCTATAAAGACAGCTTTAGATGATTTCTGGTGGAATCATGTCCAGCCAGCAAAGGAGCTGTACAGTAAGTCTAAGTTCACTGATCCCTTGACTCAATTAAGGTCTCTAAAACCAGAGCCCCGACATGAATTATGTAGTTATATTGTTTATGAAAGCAAGCATCTTGTGGACAATAAATCTATGCTATTGTGGCGTGAAATTCATGGCAAAATACAAGATTGTTGAAGTCAGATGTTGCATTTCCACTTATTGATCATTGCTATTGCTTGGAGCCAATGATGGCAAGGGAGGTAAGGTGAGCTACTTAGCTGTTAATATACTTTGATGGAAAGTTTATTTATTTATTTTTTCAATTTATATATGCCTTTAAACTATCTACATTAAATTTCCAACATGAATCTAGCCTATCTATTGTGCTTTATGTGTAACATAGATGACGTTTGCTGAACTTATTAATGCTTAATTACAAGGGCTAATCATGCTATCCAAAGTCCAAACAAGCAGCTCCCAGATTCTTTTTCCCATCTCTTTAGCTGATAGCTTCTTCGGTCTGTTAACAACTTAGTCTTAAGTCACCTTTTTGCTTCATGACTTTCCCTGTTCTTGAAGGCATTGGGGCTATCTGTACTGAAACTTAAAATCTGTTTATAGCTGAATGTAATCATGTGCTGACCTAAATTATCTATTTGATGGTCATATGCATGACTTTCCTCAATGTTGGTTTTCCTTAGCCTGATCTAAAGTCCCTAGTTGTTTTTAATATTGGTGTTTTCTTCTTATTGTTGCTTAATTACTTTATACTTTGTTAAATTTAGCAGTTTATACGAGTAATCTTCAATCTGACCTGGTGGTACCTTCAAAATGTCTACTGTACACCCCCGTTCCCAAATAAGTTAATTGCTTTTGGCATGGATAGTAATCATAGAGGGTAGAGGAAAACAAAGGTAAGAGAGTGTTGGAATAAAGCAAAAGAAATTGGTTGAGAGAAAAAGTGTGCAAATTATTTTGGGGCAACCAAAAAAGGAAATTGTGCATCTTATTTCAGGATAGGCAGAGTGCCAATCTAACTTTGCCATGGATGAATATGAAAATAAAGTTGCTTAATTCAATTTCCTTTAAGCCTGTTTTGCAGTAAATATCTGTATAAATATAAAGGAACTGATGAGTTTTCCATTGTATACCTAGTTTTGTTGTTATGAACTTGTGACTATTATTTGCCCTCTCACTTTTAGGCTTTTATCTTGATGTTTGAAGTGCTCCAGTACTTGCTTACTCATGAAACCCTGTATAATTCGTATGATTCTATTGTTAGGTTTGCAAAGCATTCAGGCTTTTCTGTCTTATAATATTGTGAGCAGAGTAGACAAATGCTATGTTTGGTATCTTAATATTGCGAATGTGATTTTAACTTCTGCAGCAGGAAGAAAACAAAATGACCTTTAGGATGATAATTGACGTGTTGCTTTTTATCCCTTTAGATTGATATACCAAGCATTTCTGTTGTAAGTTACTTGTGGATCTTGTCAGAAAGAGCTCATGCTATTGTGGTTTACTCTTATGAGGAATCTGAAATATAAGTTTAGAAAGAAAGTAGGGTAAAATGTGCGAGCTCCAAAAGGCCTTTTCCTAGATGAGAGTTTATTGATGTCATGCTGTCTTTGCCCTTTCTTTCAGACCCCTTTTGTTCCTGTCTAAATCATCCACTGTGTTAATATTCCGACTTTCTGAGAATTGGTATTTCAAGAACAGTTCGGAATACATCTGCCTAGTTACTTTCACATCTCTTTATGTAAAAGGAAAATGGTCATTTTGTGTTAAAGTTCCAATTGGTATAGTTCGTAAGATATGTTTACTGATACTTTTGATATTGTTACAGGTTGGCTTCAGAATGGTCTGATTGCTCCTATTTTCATATATCTCCTTGTCAATTATCGCCCATACTTTGTAAAACCCCAGCAATGTTCCTCTGATGGCTAGGCCATTGCCAGTTTGCCACCTTGTTCTAGGTAAACGCTCTGCCCTATTACTTGAAATTATCTGAATTCTTTCCCATTGAGTGTGTGGTATTTTTTGAATTAAATATATGTGGGTTTGTCCCCCTTTTTCAAACTCTTTCAACTGAATATCTTGTTGTGGGTTTGTCAGGGGCATCCATAATACTGCCTTCACCTTCCGGTTTGAAGCTTCTCATTGTTCGAAATTCTGATGATGACTCTCCTACTAAATTTGAGATTTGGGGCCCTTCAAATCTGGAAAAGGAGTTTCTTGTACCTCAGGCTGTTCATGGATCATTATTTACGGATGCATGGTAATTTGACTTCTGCATTATGAGTTCAGACGTAGGGTTATGTGGTAGAACATGAGTCTTTTCTTATTCATATGCTCATTGATCATTTTTCTTAACTAACAGGTTTGAAGGTGTTTCTTGGAACTTAGATGAAACACTCATTGCATATGTTGCTGAGGAGCCTACCCCTTTAAAGCCCCTTCAATAGTTTTGGTTATACAAGCGCGAGTACCTCCAATAAGGGTTGTAACAGCTGGGAAGGCCAAGGGGACTGGGAGGAGGGATGGGGAGAAACATATGTGAAAAAAAGGTGCCCTGCAGTTTTTGTTATTGATATTAACAGGTACTGAGTCACCATTTGATTTATATTGAAATTTAATGATTAAGCTGATGTGATGGATCCGAATTTGGGCCAGCCCATTAAGGTCTATCACCGAAGGGCCAAAAAGGGGCAGATGGGAAATGTGGGTCATACTCTTGGGAAATTCAACACCAACGGTAACCAAGAGGAAAGGATAGAAGCTGAAATCGAATTGGAGGAACAAGAAGAGCAGTAGCTTTTGACAAGGAAGCCAATTCAGGAAAAAGGAAGATTCACTACTTTAGCAACAATGGCAAAAGGGTTGCTGTTCCCTAAGCCTTGGAGGTCAACCATTATTAGTTTTAGGTTATGTTAGTGCTTGAGTATAAATTGTAATGTTGAAAGAAGTAGCCACTTATCCAGAAATTTGTATGAGAAACCTCATGAGAGTTGTAGCCTAAAGCTGCTTGAGATTAATAGCCTAAAGTTATCGCTATCTTGTAATCCTTTAGTTTCGATTATTAATTAAAATACTCAAGCTTACATTCACATTATTGTTAATTTAATTACTATTAAAGTGCGAGAAAAACTAGTCCTTGACAACTTGGTATCAGAGCATCAGCGTGCCGACGCGGCGGAGGAGAGGCTGGAAGGCGTCGAGTCAAGGCTGAGGTCTATCGAAGAGGCGCTCACAACCTAGGATGCCTCCATCGGGCACACAGTGGTCGAGGCGGTGAGCAAGGTTATGTTGGACACTCCAGACAACTTCACGGCGCTGTTTGAGGCTGAGAAGAAGCGACAGGAAGAGGACAAAATTCGGTTGGAGGGCGAATTGACCGTTCCTGGAGAGACCAGGAACTCCAGGTGACCGTGGTGGCCAAGGAGAATGAGAAATTTCGAGAGGAGGTGAAAGCCGCCATAACCGCCGCAGCTAAGGTGCCCAGAAATCCACCATCACCCATCCAATTAGAGCACGGTGAAAACAGCCAAGCCAACGACGAGAACGAGGTGTGTACTCCGCTCAACGGGGGGTTTGGGATGGACAAATGGAGGACAAGGGACCCTCGGGGGTGGAACGACGAGGGTGATGGAGGTGATGTCCGGTGGAAACCGAGGAAATTGGACATGCCGGTGTTCGAGGGTAAGGACCTGGACAATTGGGTGATGCGAGCGAAGATGTATTTCGATGTTCACCATCTTTCCGACGAAGAACGTGTAACCGCCGCGGTGGTTGCGATGGATGGTCCGGCCTTACAGTGGTATCATTGGGAGAATCGTCGTCGGCCGTTTGCCCATTGGACGGACCTAAGGTGTAGGTTACTCCACTCCGGCACGCTGCAGAAGCAATGGTTAGCGGTCACTCAGACCGGAACGGTGGAAGAGTATAAGAGAAAGTTTATTGAAATGGCTTTCCCCCTTGACGACATACCAGAAGAGATTATGAAGGGTCAATTCACAAACGGGCTTAAGGAGAACATTAGGGCCGAAATTCGGTTGTTGGCCCAGCAACCCTGGATCGGGCCATGGATTTGGCTGGAAAGATAGAGGAGAGAGACCGGGTCAGTAAAGGGAAAACGGGCGTCGGGTCGTGGCGAAGTGGACCCAACCCAAACGGGTCCGGGTTCGGGGGATCTGGTAGCAAGGTGGGTGGAGGCCTCATCTCCACTTATGGGCTACCCACCAATCCGAGCCCAAACAAGAGTTGGCCCAAAGTGAGTGAGTCTCAGATAACATAAACAAGCCCAGTGCCAGTTATTCCACCAAGTCTGTCAATGAGCCACGAAGGCTCACCGAAGCGGAATTGCAAGACCGAAGAGCGAAGGGTTTGTGCTTTCGGTGCGATGAACGTTGGGGGGTTGGGCACCGGTGTAATAGAAAGGGGCTTAGCGTGTTGATTGTGGCCGAAGGGCCGGAAGATGTAGAGGAGGAAGACTACGAAGGGGAAGAAGAGGCGGTGCAAGCATCACTATGTTCCTTAGTAGGCTTGACCAATTCGAAAACTATGAAGCTTAGAGGAATGATCCAAGGGAAAAGAAGTGTTAGTCATGGTCGACTTCGGATGGTGGAGGAGATTAAAATGCCGCTAGAGAAGGGAGGGGAATTCGAGGTATCTTTAGGTAATGGTGAGACCGTAAGAGGGAGAGGAGTATGTAGAGGGGTAAAGTTGAGCTTGAATGGGGGAGTGATGATAGTAGAGGATTTTTTGCCTTTAGGATTGGGGAATGTTGATGCCATACTTGGTGTACAATGGCTAGAGAAGTTGGGAGCGGTGACTACAAATTGGAAGACACATGTAGTGAGCTTTAAGGTGGAAGGGGTGTTGATTACTATCGTTGGGGATCCCACCTTGGAGAAAACTCGGGTATCTCTTAAGGCCATGATACGAAGCCTTTGCAAGAACAAGGGTGGTGTATTAGTGGAGATTAATCGGGTAGAAAAGGGAGGAGCGGCCCAAGAGGGAAGTGAGGTGCCACGGTTTTTAAGGGGAGTCATGGAGGAGTTTAACGAAGTGTTCAACATGCCCACCGGTTTACCACCAAACCGCAACCATGAACATGCCATCACTCTTAAAGGAGGGAGCAATCCGGTGAGTGTAAGACCTTACCGGTACCCTCAAGCCCAAAAAGATGAGATTGAAAAAC